GAGAGAGAGAGAGAGAGAGAGAGAGAGAGAGAGAAGCAAATAAAGGGACAAACTATTTGAGTCACAAATTAGTAGAGATTATGCAGAATACGAGAGGAAACTGATTGTTATAATAATAGGCATTATCTCTGTATTTTCACCCTATTATCAATGTTAACGAGAATTAGTGTTGAGTCTGGTATTGATTTTATGTGGTCTAATAAGTAAGCAATCATATGATGTATTGTTAACAATAACTCAAAACTTTATCCAAACACACAAAATATATAAAATAGAATGAATTTTAAAATTTAATTTAAAAACTATTATTGAAAGCATTTCTGCGATTGTTTATCAAAATAAGTGATAAGAATATCTGTTGAATGCATTAAATATGAATAGAATTGAAAGGTTTGCACATTTGATGAATGAAATGAAGCGAACAAACTGTAAGATAACATCATTTGTGAGTTAAGTCTCCCTCGAGTCTCAAGAAAAATGCAATAAATAGGGAAAGCATTGACTGCTGTTGTGAAGGGAATGGAGAAAAAGGTGACAAATTTTAGTGAATGATATCGATTGAAGCATCAGGTACTGCATCAGTACTGCATCTGTACTGCATCCATGGCCTCCACTTTCATCCTAACTTCACTACACTTTCCACCACTCCTTCCCTCTCCTCCGCCGCAACACATCTAATATACAAAACTACACAAAACTAAAACCTATATATAGTATGAGTCATGCCATGAGTGAAGGAAAGCATACAATTCACTGCTTTTGTATGGTTTGCAACAGAATTAGAGATGAGATGAGAGATGCCATACCTTTATTAAAGTTAGGTTTACAGCACTTGTAGTGCTGTTAAGCCAGAGGAGGAACAGGTCTTTTGTCTAAACATTTTCCTCCAATTTAAGTCAAATATATTATTTCTCCATTTCTATGACAACGACTATGAGTTAAATCTCATAAAACATTAATACCTAAACTAACGGTACGTTTAGAACACACTAAACATAGAGTAGTTTTGTTGCTTTGAATGGTATATAAATATTATCTTTTCAAATGTATATCCACTCATAAATTATTTTTCCTTTTAATACACTATTATTACGACAAAAACTAAACATTTGTTGAAAATTCATTATATTCTGTATTCACTATATGTATTGGTTAATTGCAAATTAAGTTCTGTTTATTAAGTGATACATTAATTTATAAACAAATTAGTTATTAACGCTAAAATTAGAAACAAATGGTTTGATAATAAAGATATATTTAGAGAAATAATTTTGTAAATGTATTACTGTATGTATTGCGGGACTAATACACAGATTATATGATATAGAATATTATGAGAGGATAGAAGATAGCAAATAAAAGCAAACAATATAACCAAAATGAAATAACTTTATTATAAGAGTAAATAAAAATAATAATACATATGAAAACAAAAATTGAACAAAAAATTGAAACTGAAATAAATTATTGATTATAAGAAAAATATTATATTTTGTTGTAATTGAAGCCCATGTTATCATTTGTCTCTTCAACTCAAAAGCTTTTAAATCAAACAAATTGATTGTCATTTCATGACAAATATATACTCTATTTTGGTTTCCCTCTCATTACTGGCGCAAAAGTGGACTCATTTTATTCAAACAAACCTTAGGTCTGAAACAGGGATTTGTGAGACAAACAAGATTGAACTCCAGCTATGATTCCGTGTAAATAATTTGTTCCACATTTTAAAGACATGCAGTAACCTAACCTAACCTAACCTAACCATATTATTATCACATTATAATAAGTTATTATATTACTTAATAAGTAAAATATATTTACCTTACAGTGCGCTATAATTATATTGTTTTCACAATAACAAATTGTATAAAACCTTTTACCTTTTATTAAAATTAATAAATGAGTTAAGTAAATTAAAATAAACTATTACATATTTTACAAAATATTTTACATGTGCTTCTTAAATATTGGCAGTTTAAAGTAAATAAGTATTTGTAAATACAAATTTACAACTCTATGCATCTTGGTTTGTGCATTAAAATAATATTGAGTTAAAATGACATTCAATGTAATCCCTGGACATACAGTAGTTACTGTATATGTGAGAGTGGAGAGAGAGAGAGAGAGAGAGAGAGAGAGAGAGAGAGAGAGAGAGAGAGAGAGAGAGNCTACCCCTATGGTCAGTATAAGATACCACCCCTTAATTATAACAATATGACCAAGAGCTCACGGCATTTGCTAGAATACCTCTCAGGCTCCAATCATAACTACGGTTTGTTTGTAAAACATATGTATTTAATTGATTAATGTTTGTTTAAATGGATGTAATTTATACGATATGTTAGATTTTAAAGATAAAATCTCGGCCCACGTATTGACTAATGAATTTAATGCTGAAAATATTGGAAAATGCAAAAACAAAACCTCAACACTTGTTGCCTCTATATGTCAGCAATATCTCGATGTCGCCGATCATACCAATGACGACATTGTCTGCATCTATACATCGTATAGAAGTATAGCTTATTATTATCTTATATTTATTATACATAAATCATCTGTATATTTGTGAGAGAGAGAGAGAGAGAGAGAGAGAGAGAGAGAGAAAATCTATTATTAGTGAAAATCTTTTAATTCTATAAACGAATGGACAAATAGAGTGAAAGACAGACAAAAGTATAACTACTTCTCTATACAACCGTAGAACCGATGCATTAGTTGAAGACTTAACACATGTTTGAAGTGAGTTATGATTGTTGAAGAGATTGCGTGGTCTCTGATGCCAGTAGTTCTGCGATTGTCTTCACTCTTACAGTGTTTGAAAAGTTTTACTTTAGTTTTGGTATTCATTCATTGCAAAGGTGTTGGAAGCAAAAGAATCGTTCGCTCTTTCACTTCATTATTACGATTGAATAGTTTTAATAATTTTATTAATAATATTAATAATTTTGATTAAAAACTATTGCAATACTTGTTATATTTGTAATGATATCAATAGAAATGATGACAACATTTTTTTAAAATGATGAATCTTTGTAGATAATGTTTTTGTTGACAATCAGATCATTGATCTCATCGATGTCCACATGTGAACAATGACCACAACTAGTGAATTACCATTTCCTATGAATTCTCGTCTAATCTATCATTCATTTCATCAGTTTCTAAAAATTTGTGTATTTTTAATTTGTTTTCTACATTTGTGTCATTCATTTAACGGTTAGTAAAACTTGATTTTATTTTTTATAATTTCATGGTCACAAATGTATTATTCTGTACAAAATATATTTTCAAACTATAATATAATATCTCAACAATTAGATTCTATTCACGTTTAATTAACTAACTAGATAATAGATTAATATTAATTTCACAAAATAAAAATATCTGTAAACTTATTAAATTGTAATCTCAAAATATTGTTTATATTAGTTGAAAAACATAAAAATTGCAACTTTATAATTATCATGTTTGATACTTTATGCAATTTTAGACAATACCTTTCATTCAAACAAAAATACTATAAAATTTTATGTAAAAATGTAGAATATTCAGTATATACAGTATAAGTCCATTTTTATAGATCAAATTTTTGAATTATTAATTATTGACAATATCTTATTTTAACTTAATATTATTTGATATAAAGAATTATGCATTTGATTATTTGTGAATGAACAAAGATAAGTCATTTACTGAGATTTAATTTGCCACCAATTTATCAGTTCTTAATGTAGTCAATGTTGTGTATATGAGTTCAGTGTTAAGCCCTCCGGACATCTCGTTTGGCGAGCCTTTCAATCATTTGTCCAGAAGTACAAGACTTCACAAATTAAGTCTTAAGTTCACATTTTAGTCCATTCTATAGTCTATTGTACATAATGTACAGTAATTACCATTTAATTCATTGAATGACAGACAGAAACCCTTTCTTACTTCACCCCAAACTATGCTTTGTATTACATTTGCATCTAATGTGCAATTATAGTAGTAATACGTGCTATCAATTCATTGTCTCCTTTGAGAGTAAGAGCACATATAGACTGTAGAGTTGTTTTGTTACGGATTCTGGTATTCAGTGCTTTACTCTTAATGGAAAGATTGTGTTTAAGAGCTAATACTTTAGACCCTAAAGGTAGACAAATATTGCTAAACAGGTGTGTATTCTGNCTCCTTTGAGAGTAAGAGCACATATAGACTGTAGAGTTGTTTTGTTACGGATTCTGGTATTCAGTGCTTTACTCTTAATGGAAAGATTGTGTTTAAGAGCTAATACTTTAGACCCTAAAGGTAGACAAATATTGCTAAACAGGTGTGTATTCTGTATTGTATTCACAAAACGAGCAAAAATATGTTAATGGAATAAATTGGGGGCTCTTTTCAATGTGTACTCAATCTAAATAATCCACTTGTCTTTCTTGTGTCCACTTTTCACACTTGCATTTAAGTGAACGACAATTACTTAACTTTTTGACAAAATAGCTAAATGACATTTCTCATTTCAATTTCGTATAAACTAGGTTATATCCCTTAGTTTATACATAAACAAAGTAATTACAACTTATAGTTTTCAATTTGTACTATAGTTTACAATATTTTATATTAAAAATATTGTTATATATTTTTCATAAAATTTTAAATAGCATTTTATTATTTTATTGGCATTTATGTGGATATTTTTGCAAAAATTTCAGTTTTTGTTCTTAAGTTACATAAAAAATCATTAAAACTAGGAAAATGTCAGTTTGTATCATGAATTATCCAAAGCTATAAAACATATATTACAAGTTTTGCGTTAACCATAAAATAGAAAATCAATACTGAAAAGTTAATTTAATAAATTTTGAGCATAAAATTACAACATAAAAATATAATATTATATAGTCAATGTTTTTATAGTTTTAATAGCTAGATAAGTTTATACACTGTATAATTCTTTCAATTCTAATATAATTTTTCTATATAATATAATCTGATCTTTCTTTTATTAATAAACACAATAAATTCAATTAATTTTTGAAATTTATATTAATAAATATCTCATTTTATAGAACCACCAAAACTTCTTTCAAAGCAATCAAACACTGAAATTCAAAAGATTATAAAAATCGGTTCTTCGGTATCACTTGAATGTCCGGTCGAAAGGTTACCCACAGAAGAGATTTACTTTGAATGGTATAAAAATGGCCAACAAATTGAATACTTCGATAAAAGAGTGCGAATAACCAATTCTGGTGTCCTTAAGATCAAGAATGCAAACCCAGAAGACACGGGACGCTTCATGTGTAGAGGTAGTCAACAATTCTTCATTATTTTCATTATTTTAATTGCAATTATAAACTAATTAAATGAATTTGTTTATAAATAGCAATAAATGGGTTCGGAAGTGTTGACTTCACTATTATACTTATAGTGATGGGTGAGTTGATGTCTAATTATCAATATTTATACTATAATTACAATTTTCTATCAAACAATTCCCAATTGCTTTATAGAGTGCAATTAATTGCATACAAATCCTCTCGTTATTGTAAATATATAAAAATATAAGTTGTGTTAATATAGTGTATAATTAGAGGGAGTAATGAATAATTAAATTATTTCATTAAAGTTCTGGACGTAGTTTAATGTTGTTTTGAACTAAACCTGAGTTAACCCTTAAGTGCAAAACTCTTTATATTGCATATCTAAAGCAGAATTATATTACCGTTGCTTTAATGATAGACTTAGAGTACCATCACTTGTATAAATACACAAGAGATCACATCTCAAAATCCCGTAAATTATGTTAAGTTTTAGCGAATGACTTCCCTTTTATTGAGAACAGAGTTTATCTCATTATTATTTGTTTAAAAAATAAATTTTAAATATTACTTATATTTGCCATTATTTAACAAAAATAGTATAAATCCTAAATTAATTTTCAATCCAACTCTTTATAATAAAACACAAAACTATTGTTAACTTAGTTTTAAATTAATTAAATAAATAGATGAGAGCGACGACAACGAGTCTGAAAAAGATGTGCACAAAATATTGGATTTAGACGTGCCTTCAATGACAAGGTCTTCATCGTCTCCGGGTTTGTTAACCATATGTTTTCTTTAACTAATCGTTTTTGTAATAAATTGTTTTTGTTTTCATTTATTTTTATAAAGTACTCGAAAATGAGTATATTTTATAAAGAAAATAGAGTTTATGTATAAATATTTGCAAATATTAGTGTTATTGAACGGATGGAGAGTGAAGTGCATCCACTCCTCCTCTGCCTATAGTTTTACTTAATCTCTAAATATTTACGAGAAATATGAATATTGAGAACACATTTGCCATTCCATCGCATAATAAGACAAACATACAAAACACTGTTTTCTCACTTTCCTTAACTATATATAAATATTTATATCTATAATAACACGTTATTCTATGAATAATTAAAATGAAAGTAGAAATCATGAAGTATTCATATTTATACAACATATGAACACCTATTATAAATCTATAAATTATATAATATTAACTTTATATACATGGCATTAATTTACAGGTGAATCAAATTTGTCTCAAATGAATAAATATTCTCAACACATAATAACCCGAAAGACTGGAAGCGGTGTTAGATTCAAATGTGTGGACCAATTCATTGGCAATTTAAAGCCAACAATAATATGGTTTCATAATAGCGAACAGTTTTCAGATTCAGAGCCGAGAAAAGGGAGAAATTCTTTAGTCATAAATGATTTAAAACCCGAAGACAGCGGTAATTATACGTGTGTTTCAACACATCAAACGGGATCTATTAGTCGCAGTTATGTACTCAAAGTGATCGGTAAATAATACTTGACAAAAATAAAAGTACCAAAAATTAAACCATATAAATATTCATGAATTCTTAGATACTTATATAAATAAGCCTCAAATAGAGGGCATACACCCAATTAATACAAGTGCTATAGCGGGCAGTACTTTAACTCTTCATTGCTCTGTCAAATCGGAGGAATTGCCACACATTCAGGTATTTTTATTACATTTTGCAAATTAATTAATTAAAAAATTAGTTATAATTATATCTTATTTATATGATTAGTGGCTCAAAAAAATTGATGTAATCATTGATTATGGAGACGATGTTAAGGATGAAGAATCGCAACATTACATTAAAGTTATGGGAGAAGTGTATAAAATAGTGGCTTCCGATCAAATGTTTAGATCTTCTGAACATTTATATTCAAATAAATTAATTATAAATAACGCCAATATATTGAACGCCGGGAAATATATGTGTTGTAAGTATTTACTAAAATAGACTTAGAATTTATTGTATTTAAAAATATTAACAATAATTTCGTGTTTGTTAGTGGCGGCCAATACAGTGGGCACCAGCCATAGGACGGCTTTTGTTTTAATTCATACATCAGGTAAGACTTATTCAATACAATTGCAATACTTATGTAGAATTATATAAACGATTCTTATATTTATATATCAGAATCAGAAGAAACTCAAATGAACGGAATAATGAGTGAAGACATACTTCCGGTGCCAATAGTGGTGGCATTTGTATCAGTATTACTAATAATAGTGATGGCAATAATGGTATGGATGTCAATGTGTTTGTGCCAAAAGCCGGAGCCAAACACTCGGATCACTGAATCAGTGTACGAATCGCCGGCTAAATGCACTCGTTGTGTGCCTTCGGAAGGGAGTCATACATATAATCAGATGGTGACCAACAAGTCGGTCATGTCATCCGTATCCATACCAACCATGCCATCGATGCCGTCCTCCGAACTCAGATCTTCCTCTCCTTTCTATTCTGAGATCACATCTCACGACAAACGCATCGCTAATGCTTACCAAATGTATACAAATCCTCAAGACTTTAAGCCAAACAACTGTCATCCAAACAAACCATACGGTTATTTATGTTAGGAGTCCTCATATTACGAGTCCAAACAAATAAATCTAGTCTTAAGTCTAGCCCTAAAAGTATTTTCATATCATTGTATTTCATATCATTTAAACACATCTAATATTTCTAACAATGTATTAATTGTACAAATATTCTACTCATAATCACAATTCAATCTTATTTTCCTACGATATAAGACAATGTGCTGTAAATGTATTTAATCTAATATTTAAATAATTGTTTTATAAATATTTCCACTATTCAATTCATTTTTTACAACAACAAAAAACATTCATATAAATGTAAAACAGAATTATTTGCCATTTATTTAAATATTTATAAAAATATATACATTTTACGGGTAATAAAATTTTCAATTATAATATTTTTAATTACTTTTGAATTAGTGTTAATTTTATAAGTGGTTAGAGAGCCGTAAGGGGCAGGAAATGCTATTCAGTAAATAATAAAACATATTAGAGTACAAGTGATAAAAGCATTAAACATGAACACAATTTACTCAAAACAGTTTGGAAAGGGTTGGCATCTTATTACCAATTCTCTCGTAATTTTCGAGATCTTTAAAGAATTTAATGAATGTTTGGTGACATTCGTTGAATTCAATTTCCAGTGATTTAATTTCATTGCAAATATTCATCGAATTTTCGATATTAACGGAAGCGCTCGACATCTTATCGAATACATCAAATCGCTCTGAATTCACCGAATTGTCCATTAATTCTAAAACAAAAACATTTATTATAACATTTAATTAAACTAAACAATCGCTACAACCGTTCAGTTTCTTAAAGTCGTTTTGTGTGCAGTTTTCAACTTTCAGAAGAAGTTTTTGTCCGACAATTAATTGCGACAAACTCTTGAAAAGTGAATCCATTTGTGATCTAATCTGCAAATATTGGTCCAAACATGCCTTCCTTTTCTCCACAATATCTGTTAAATCAATGGTGTTTTGCAGCGAAAGCAGACATTTCTTTGTGTCCATTAATTGGGTTTTCATATCATTAGTTTGGGACCAGATTTGAGTGATTGTATTGAAAGCGTTT